CTGGAGGTTTGTAGCTTTTGACCCCCGCACCCAGTTCACCCACTTCCCCCCACCCCACGCCTCTGGGGACCAGTCTGTCCTCCTGACACATAATAGTGTGACGAGTGGTCTGGTGGTGGAAGCTCAGGAACCCCCAGATCTAGGGAAGCCACAGGATCAGAAGTGACATTGGGGGGAGGGCAAGAGCCATTCCTCACTTTTGAGCAAAGTGAGTTTGACTCAGGTGAGTGTGAGACCCGCCCCCCAGCCCTGCTCCACACACACGGGGTCTGTGTCCCCTTGCCTTCCCTCCATTAAGTACAAAGGTGTCATGTTGAAGACCTGTTCCTTCCTGCAGCAAAACACTCCCAGGGCACCTCCCCTGGCTGTGCTCCCAGCACAAGCCCTGCTCTCTGGACTGTCCCCGTGGAGGGGATGAGCGTGTAAAATGCAGGCTGGGAACAGGGTGGCTGCCAGGAGGGTGTTGCGCAGGCCCCGGGGGACAGAAGGAGTGAGCCCTGCAGACCCCAGGGCCGGGCTGGCCAGTGGGGGGGATGCAGGCGGGACAGTGGGGGGCCGGACTGCAGCCTCGCAGTGGGTAGCAGGGGAGGTGCCATCCACAGGGTCTGCGGGGCCTCGGGCGGGGCCTTGGAGAGCGTTCAGCTGCCTGGCCGAGGAGGGGTCGGGGGTCACAGGGTGCCAGGAGTTGTTCCGTTGTCGGGGATTCTGAGAGTAGGAACGTGGCCAGGGGTATCCGCTGCGTTTCTCACCGTTAATGTGCCCTTTCCCTCTGTGATTACGGAGTAATCCATGGAGAGACACCGGGGCCTGTGAACACCCTGCTCCCCAGAGACCTTCCACCCGTGACGGTCTGTACCTGAATCACTGACTCGTTCTGTCATTCGTTCGTTCATTCATGCATTCATTCATTCGTACTGTCCGTTTGACACCGTCTGTAAAGCAAACCCCTCTCTCCTTTCTTTAACGTCAATGGATTCGATTTTTTTCAGTGTATTATAACTTATTGCTGTCGCTGAGAGCACCGGCGGCAGTGCGTTCGCGGCTCCTTGCCTGGCGGGGGGGTCAGTTTACATGCCCGGGAAC